GTCTCTTCTGTCAGTGGTTAGTCATTTTTTTTTTTTTTTGTAAGTAGTTAGTATTATCTCCACTCTATGAATTGGTGGCAAGTTTGGTTAAAATGACCCTTGGCTTTGTTATTAATGGCCTGACAAGTGGTCTGAAAATTGGGGCATCCGTTAACCGTCTCTCAAAATTTACTGTTGATGCAGACAGTAGTTTGACTCTTGTTTACCACTCAGTTTGTTTGGTTGGTTGATGAGCTTGGCACAGAAGTTAGTGTTGATGAACGCTGACAGTTTTTGTTCGACTCCATGACAACTCACTCAGGTTGGCATGGCGGTCGCCGCGGGGAGGGTGCGTGGACATGGATATGTCAAGCGTTGCGTTCCGGAAAGATGGAACACTTCTTGATGCCATCTTCCACATGCATCTGAAGTCGGGCCATCAGTTTGCGAGGCACATGGGAGATGATCGGGAGGGAACCTTTGGCGAGGAATTGAATGACTGTGAAAGGGTCAGTGTATTTCATTTTCCCTTTTTTGAAGTTTTTCCCTTTTTTTGTGTTCTCTGATTGCCTTTTTTTTTTCTTTTTCGTGTGTGTGTGTGCATCTGGATTCGAACTTGGGTCTGATTCATATTTCAACAGTTTGTTCATAGGTTGACCACCTTCTTCTTCTTCTTCTTCTTCTTCTTCTGCTGCTGCTGCTGCTGCTGCTGCTTCTTCTTCTTCTTCTTCTTCTGCTTCTGCTTCTGCTTCTGCTTCTGCTTCTGCTTCTGCTGCTGCTGCTGCTTCTGCTGCTGCTTCTGCTTCTGCTGCTGCTGCTGCTGCTGCTGCTTCTGACCTTCTTCTTCTTCTTCTTCTTCTTCTTCTTCTTCTTCTTCTTCTTCTTCTTCTTCTTCTTCTTCTTCTTCTTCGTCTTCTTCTTCTTCTTCTTCTGCTTCTGCTTCTGCTGCTGCTGCTGCTGCTGCTGCTTCTGACCTTTGGATACGGCATCACCTTCGACGCTGTCTCTTATACACATCTAGATGTGTATAAGAGACAGGTATGTAGCTGAGGGAGCAGGAGTGACTTTTTTTTTTTTTTTTTTAACAAAACAACC